ACAATGGATAATGGTACAGTTATGTTTCCTGACTAAAGGTACTGAGATGTACCCTTGAGGGTCCCATGCCAGTGACAGGAGGGGTACTGCCCCAGTGACAGTTTTGTACCTTTATTTCTGAGAGTGTATATACTGGCTTATAAGGTTTCATATTAAGGCGTTGTGCTTAGACTTGATCACTGATGATCTCTGATTGTGATGTAATTTGTAGACGCTCCCTAAGCTCTCAGCAGCCCACAGAAGTCCATGTGCCTCACAAGTTTTAAAAGGCATTCATTTCACACAAAAACACAGTGAGAACAGATTGATTTGTAACCAATAATAATGGTTTATACATATTAACATTTGTGCACCCACCATTTTGAAAACTATTAAAGAATGAAATCATATATGTGAAAATGAAATCAACTTTACTGCTCACAAGGTTCTTTTCAAGCCTTGCTATTCCTCTGTTTCTTGTTATTCTACTTACTTAATGTTAATGTTAGCTCACTTCAGCACATTAACAAAAATTAAGATTTATATAACACCCTATATCTACAACCCCAATTCCAAAAAAGTTGGGACGCTGTGTAAAATGTAAATAAATGTAAATAAAAACAGAATGTGATGATTTGCAAATAAACCCATATTTTATTCACAATAGAACATAAAACACATATCAAATGTTGAAAGTGAGACATTTTAACATTTCATGAAAAAAATTAACTCATTTGGAACTGATGGCAGCAACGTGTGAGAAGTGAGGAGACAAATTGCTGGAGTTTTGAGAGAGGAATGTTGTCCCTTTCTTGTCTGATGTAGGATTCTAGCTGCTCAACAGTCCTGGGAGCTCTTTGCTGGATTTTTCGTTTCATGATCCACTAAATGTTTTCTATTGGTGAAAGGTCTGGACTGCAAGCGACCAGTTCAGCACCTGGACTCTTCTTCTGTGAAGCCATGCTGTTGTGATGGATGCAGTGTGTGGTTTAGCATTATTTTGCTGAAATATGCAAGACCTTCCCTGAAAGAGATGTTATCTGGATGGAAGCACCTCTATATGCTGTTCAGCATTGATAGTGCCTTTCCAGATGTGTAAGCTGCCCACGCCATAGGCACTAATGCAACTCCATACCATCACAGATGCTGGCTTTTGAACTGTGCTCTGATAACAAGCTGGATGGTCCCTCTCCTCTTGAGTTCGCAGGACACAGCGTCCATGGTTTCCACAAGGAATTTCAAATTTCGATTAATCTGACCACAGAACAGTTTCCATTTTGCCTCGGCCCATTTTAAATGAGCTTTGGCCCAGAGAAGACGGCAGCGTTTCTGGATCATGTTGACCTATGGCTTCTTCTTTGCATGATACAGCTTTAACTTGCATTTGTGGATTGATTTCTGGAAGTGTTCCTGAGGCCATGCAGTGATGTCCAATACAGAATGATGCCTGTTTTTAATGCAGTGCCACCTGAGGGTCCGAAGATCACAAGCATCCAATATTGACCGTCCGCCTGAGTCTTTTGATGATATTATGTACTGTAGATGGTGGGATATCCAAAGTCATTGTAATTTTACATTGAGGAACAATTTTTGAAATTGTTCCACAATTTTTAGATGCAGTTTTTTTGCAGATTGGACATCGGTGACCCCACCATCCACAGGCTGCAGATCTGGACCAAGCCAATACACCTGAACTGCCTGGGGATGTTTCTCAAAGATCCTGACTTCTGGAACTGGAAAACATATGTCACGCATTCGGTGAACTCTCTGAAAGAAACGGACTTCATCTCCCAGAATCCTCTGGGAGATCACATGACTCAGCAACTTCCCTTGGACTCCGAGTCCGACTCGGACTCCATTGCCCACAATTCTATGGGAGATCACGTGACTTCTGACACTGGCTTACGTTCCAATCAGCGCTCCAAATCACCTGAATATTAACTGGCAGCACCTGTGTAGTTTACTTTATAAGCCCGGGCTTTAGTCTAATTCAGTGCGAGGTATTGTTTCCTGTTGAACTACCGAGCGTTTGTATACTGACTGCCTTTATCCCGTGTTTGAACCTTTGCTTTGTGTATATCGACTCTGCCTTTTTGTCTTTTCCCTTTTGTGCTTTTGCCTCTACGGACTGATCTGTGTTTTGGAACTTTTTGCCTGTATTTTTGACTTCGTCTTTTGCTCTGCCCTTTTTCGGTTTGTTCGCCTAGTATTATTAAACGCCAGCATCTTTTACTTCCGCGAGCGTCTGGTTTCTGTTGATACGTCACAACATAAAACTACATTAGAAAAATAATAAAAGAATCAATCTACCGGGGGATCTTACCACAGCACCTAATACTGGTCTAAGGCCTAGCCTAAATGGGTCAAAAGTTTAGCATTCTTTCACCAGCCATAAATATAATTCTGTTGTGAAAGAATTTATCTTTGCAATCATAAACTTTGCATATAGAAATCTGTCTGACCTTTTCTGGTGTGGAATCTGGGATCATGCTTGAACATGTTCAGTTGCTCCAGACACCTTATTTTTCCATAGGCAAGCGATATTTCATTACGACCGACTTCATCTCTGTCTCGTAGATGCTTATAAACAACTGCTTCAGGAAAAACAGCAACAAATGTCTTTCTGTCAAAATCAAAGCTTACAAAGTCCTTTCCATTGAATAAGTGAGTGAGTTTTGCCTTGTAGGTTCCGTTTGGATAGAAGTAACAGCAGCCATGTCCCTCATATATGTTGCTGTCAGCCAAAGAGTCTAAAAAATGGTAGGAAACAAAAGACAATCAATGCTAGTAGAAAATGAGTGCTAGTATATTATATGTCTGTTTGTATAGGTGGTTAATATGTACTAATTTGTACTAGTTCATTCAAGTATATAGACAGGTGACAAATAAAAGGAAAAATGTACAGCCCTGTTTCCAAAGAAGTTGGGACGCTATGCAAAATGTAAATAAAAACAGAATGCACTGATGTGCAAATCATTTTAACCCTATTTTTAATTGGACATATTACAAAGACCATTTATCAAATATTGAAATTAAAAAACTTTGTTTTTTTGAAAAGTATATGCCCATTTAGAATTTGATGCCAGCAACATGTTTGAAAAAAGTTGGGACAGGGGCATGTTTACCACTGTGTTGCATCACCTCTTCCTTTAACAGCACTGTATTTTTGTCCTTTTGTCCATTGTTTTTGCTTCATAATGCTCCAAATGTTTTCAATGGGTGACAGATCTGGACTACAGACAGGTCAGTTTAGCACCATGCTTTTACTGCAGAGCCATGCTGTTGTAATAGAGGCAGAGTGTGGTTTGGCACTGTCTTACTGAAATAAGCAAAGCCTTCCCTGAAAAAGACGTCATCTGGATGGTAGCATAAGTTGCTGTTTATATAAGGTTTCTTTTTTGCATGGTAGAGTTCTGACTTGCATTTGTGGATGCAGTGATGAGCTGTGTTCACAGGCAGTGGTTTTCAGAAGTGTTCCTCAGCTCATGCAGTGGTTTCCACTACAGAGTCGTGTCTGTTTTTAGTGCATTGTCACCTGAGGGCCCAAAGATCAGGGCCTTCCAGAATTGGTTTTCAGTCTTGTCCCTTGCACACAGATATTTCTCTGGACTTTTTTTGATGATATTATGTACTGTAGACCACAGTTTTTGGTCTACAGAGATGTGAAAAAATGGCAACCGTCTAAGCATTGACCTGATCATCAGGAGATCATGAGTTCGATCCCTGGTGATGCTCCAGCCATCTGTGACCAGGAGTTCAAGAGAGCACAATTGGCCTCGCTCTTTTTTGGTGGGAAGACGCCCCACCCCACCCCCGTCTCCCCCATCATTCAGTGCGATGTTAGCCAGCGCAGGTGTCTGTTAGCTGACATAACAGAACTGGTGGTTGGCGCTTTCCTCCGAGCGTGTTCAGCTGTCCAGTGACATGGCAGTTTGGAAAGATGTAGTGGCGCATCACAGGTCTCAGAGGAAGCCTGTGCTAGCTTTTGGCCTCCTAGAGCTGATAGTATGGTGTGACTTGGGGAGTCCTAACTAGTGGGTGGAATTGGATACGTCTAAATTGGCTGGAAAATTGGGAAAAAATGGTCAGGTCAGCTTAGTAACCCTTCACTATAGTTTCCACAAGTAGGACAGTGCATGTGTGGCATACACCAAAAAAACGGTGAAGTCCTGAATGCTTGACCCCTGAAATAGCTTAGCAGAGCCAAACCTGAGACTGAACCAGACAAGACCAGTTAATACACCAGTTCCCATATAGAAAATGTAGGTACATTTCATTTCTATAGGTTTGATAAGGATTTGGTACATTTTTCAACATTTCTTACATTTCCACAGGTTTGATAGAAATGTATGAATACAGTAATAAACACTGTATAAACATTTTGAAATGTTATAGACACTCTCCAGTATATTAACCCTTTGCACAGCTTTGAAATTCTGCATGATTTCGTGAGTTCACAATGAATAATGAATAAACACGTCTGCATTTGAGTTATGGTTTAATTAAGCATTGATAGATTTTAATTGTTTTGTTGATATTAGCGAACGCTCAAGTGGCAAACAGTCTAAAATGAACCCATGTAGCCTTTTTTCCAGTATAAGCAAAAAAGATACTCTATCAAAATAATAAAGAACGTAATTGATTGACAAACCTCAGATAAGAATTATGATTTTATTATCTTTACTGTTTCGTCATCATATTTTACTAGATAAATCTAGATGGCATGTACAGAAAAATACTAAATGTTCATTAAATATAATACATGCTATGTCAAAAAGCAAACTTCCTGTATCTCAGAACTATGTAAGAGGTGATTTAATGTACAACAGGAAATATGGCAAATATTACAGAAAATAAATACAGGTACAGCTGTCAAAGTGTTACTAGGTACCTCCTGCTTGTCTTAGTGATGCAGGCTAAGTCAGTCTATAGAAATATCAGCTAGATACGCATAAGTGAAAGCTTCAGTTGAGTCAAGCTAATTCATTATATTTTTGTAGAAAAATACATTTTGTGTATTTTGTATCTGTTAGATATATCAGTACATTGGCTCCATGGTACTGATAGTAGATATAGTCATTTATCCCAGTGTTCAGAGGTGACAGGTTCAGATGACGGCATCTATAGGATAAAACAAATGATTGTTAGTTCTTAGTTTAGAAGGAAATAAATGTAATATATGAAAGCTACATTTTGCAAAACTAATGTTGAAAACTGCCTGAAATTTTACATTTAAATAGATTTCATGTACGCCCTCCAGTAAACTGACACACTGTGGGGATGCATTAACATGAAACTAGCTGATTACTTAGTGTTGTATTACAGGCAGTTCATGTTTCAGCTCAGTTCAGTCATTCTGTAAGCAGTTAAACTTAATATTTATGATATAATTTACATCAGTTCAAAAATGCAGAACTAGAAAAATAGTTTTGAAATAAAATTTTTGCATGAATTTACAACAAATAATGAATAAACATGTTGAAGCATGTTTGAATTATGGTTTAACAAGTCATCGCTAGATTTTAATTGTTCTGTTGATGTTAACAAACACTCTAATAGCATTGTGGCCTAAAATCAACCCTTGAAGCATTTTTCTACAATAAGCAGGAAAGATACTGTGTGAATTGTGCATGTTAACATAAATTGAGTCGAAGTTGCCACTTGATTTTTTTTCCACAAAAATCCATCATGTGACCTTCTAGGCCCAAGATGAGCTGTGTGGAATATCTATAACATGCAGGGATTCAAAGGATTCTGAAATAGTGTATGTTATTAACAGGAGTAAGCACCTCCTGAAATAAGACACTCCCCAAACATTGACCAGTCATTGCATATTCCACTCTGTTTGCTTACCCCGAGTTCTGCAGCGCCACCATATTAGAAACCCAGTTCCAGCAGCCAAGAAGCAAATACAGGCAAGAGACGTCCAAACAGCGATTCCAGTGTGTTTCTCACCAACTGCACAATAAAACATTTTCATTTAAAACATTTTCATTCCGAGTTTTACACAGGTTGTGAGTCATTACTGTACAAAAGTCAGTAGAATCACTAAAAAGCTTTCACTGTTTTATCTTTAGCATTAAGGACTGAACAGATTAAAAGGACTGTTTGATGTTTTTGTCACAAGTATTGTTTCCTTACAATGAGAGATTCCACTGTCTATGCATATAAACACAGAAAGATTCATACAAAGGCCCAATCCCGTTTCTCATTTTTACCCCTACCCCTCATTTTCGAGTGTCACCTTATCCCTTGGAACTGAGTTATAAAGGGTAGCGGTTGAAACCTTTCCTTACAAAATGGGACCCTCAAATAACAAAGGGCATTACTTCATTAACAGGCTACTAGCACTGCTCTGAATGCTTTCAAAGAGGGGATACAACAATTATTTATTATCTGCCACCCCTAATTATTTAAGGTGGAACGGGAAATTTAGCTAGCTAGCTACCAAGACATTAGCATACAACAAATGAATTTTATGCTTGTTATGAAGAAAAGGACCACAACACATTGAAATGACATTAAAGATAATACAATGGTTATTGTAATTTTTTAATGGAGAAAATTCTCACGTTTGTGTGTTTCTTTCATCGCTCGCGTAGCCATCTTGCTGGTTTTTCTGTTTTTCTAATAACACTCTGTGTGGAGTGTGCCTCTGAAAAACTTTGCCCTACCTATCTCAACTAAAATCGGGACACCCTACCCCTAGGCAGGAACGCGCAAAACAGAGGGCTAAGTGGTAGGGACAAGGGGTGAAATGGGATTGGGCTAAAGCATATTTATTTTGCATTAACAGGACAATTCTGAACTATCTTTATTCAGTTTTTGAGATGTAAACAAAGTCATTCACAGTGGTTTGATGTGAAATATTTCATTGTAGAGAAACTTATTTATTTCTTTACAGTGGTGGTGATAGAAATAAAGAGTCACAATATCTAAGACAGATACAACCATTTTATTTAGTATCCAAAACCACCAGCGAACCTACAAGTGTCTTTATTTAATGTAAAGCTGATGATGGTAAAATATGGAAAATCTAAAAAAGTTTTCTTTGGGAACTGTTCTGCCTTACAGCACCATGCATGTAACCTCTTCACCGTGAAAGTATTTTAAAATTAGGTTCCTGACTAAAATCTCTAAACTATTATGAAACAATGTCTCATATTTTAAGCTCATATCCAAAATTAATAGAATAACTTTATGTGAAGGAGCTTTGAGAGGTATTAAACAAGCGGTCTCCAACCCTCATCCTGAAGAACTACCTTTCTGCAGAGCCTAGTTCCAACCACAATTTGCCACATCTGCTCCAGCTAATCAACCTCTTTACAAGTGCCTGATTTGCTGGATCAGATATATTAGAGTTAAGTAAGGGGCGGGCAGGAAAGCAGGAGACCGCTGTATTAAACTCTTTCTTATCACCATCACTGTGAACAATTCTGACTCAGTAAGTTTCTCTAGAACACAGCATTTCACATCAAACCAAGTTCTCTGAAAGTAAGTAAAGTTTTCACATTAGAAAATTTATTTCTTTACAGTTTAATTGTGCAGAAACTATAAAACTTCTCTTTTAAAATGATGAAATTAAATAACACATATTTCATGACGTGCAAGAGTCATCCTACCCCAGACTGTGGTGATGTTGTGTGCTACGCTGCTATGAAGAACTACACAGCTGTAGGTGTGTTTTCCTACATCCTCCTCTGGAACTGTCACACTCTTTCTGGTCTGGTATGTGCCGTCCTCGTTGGGCAGCACATCAGTGACCCCTCCATCCACAGGGTGCAGATCTGGGCCAAGCCAGTCCACCTGAACCGCCTGGGGATAAAACCCAGTCACATGACACGTGACTGTAATGGAGCCGGTCTTCTGTTTCTCAAAGATCCTGACTTCTGGAACTGGAAAACATAAAACTACATTAGAAAAATTATAAAAGAATCAGTCTACCAGGGGATTTTAGTCCCACTGTTTACTCATGCTAGTGTAAATGAACAATAACATGTTATATCTGCCGCACTGTAATCAATATGGTGATGACCAAACCAAAAGTGACATTTTACTAAAATAACCACCACAGCACCTAATACTGGTCTAAGGCCTAGCCTAAATGGGTCAAAAGTTTAGCATTCTTTCACCAGCCATAAATATAATTCTGTTGTGAAAGAATTTATCTTTACAATTATGAACTTTGCATATAGAAATCTGTCTGACCTTTTCTGGTGTGGACTCTGGGATCATGCTTGAACATGTTCAATTGCTCCAGACACCTTATTTTTCCATAGGCAAGCGATATTTCATTACGACCGACTTCATCTCTGTCTCGTAGATGCTTATAAACAACTGCTTCAGGAAAAACAGCAACAAATGTCTTTCTGTCAAAATCAAAGCTTACAAAGTCCTTTCCATTGAATAAGTGAGTGAGTTTTGCCTTGTAGGTTCCATTTGGATAGAAGTAACAGCAGCCATGTCCCTCATATATGTTGCTGTCAGCCAAAGAGTCTAAAAATAGGAAAAAAAAAAAAAAGATCAATGCTAGTAGAAAATGAGTGCTAGTATATTATATGTCTGTTTGTATAGGTGGTTAATATGTACTAATTTGTACTAGTTCATTCAAGTATATAGACAGGTGACAAATAAAAGGAAAAATGTACAGCCCTGTTTCCAAAGAAGCTGGGATGCTGTGCAAAATATAAATAAAAACAGAATGCACTGATGTGCAAATCATTTTAACCCTATTTCTAATTGGAAATATTACAAAGACCATTTATCAAATATTGAAACTGGGAAATTTTATGTTTTTTTGAAAAATATATGCCCATTTAGAATTTGATGCCAGCAACATGTTTGAAAAAAGTTGGGACAGGGGCATGTTTACCACTGTGTTGTATCACTTCTTCGTTTAACAGCACTGTATTTTTGTCCTTCGTCATTTTTTTTGTTTCTTAATTCTCCAAATGTTTTCAATGGGTGACAGATCTGGACTACAGACAGGCCAGTTTAGCATCCGAATGCTTTTACTGCAGAGCCATGCTGTTGTAATAGAGGCAGAGTGTGGTTTGGCACTGTCTTACTGAAATAAGCAAAGCCTTCCCTGAAAAAGACGTCATCTGGATGGTAGCATAAGTTGCTGTTTATATAAGGTTTCTTTTTTGCATGGTAGAGTTCTGACTTGCATTTGTGGATGCAGTGATGAGCTGTGTTCACAGGCAGTGGTTTTCAGAAGTGTTCCTCAGCTCATGCAGTGGTTTCCACTACAGAGTCGTGTCTGTTTTTAGTGCATTGTCACCTGAGGGCCCAAAGATCAGGGCCTTCCACATTTGGTTTTCAGTCTTGTCCCTTGCACACAGATAGGACAGTGCATGTGTGGCATACACAAAAAAAAACGGTAAAGTCCTGAATGCTTGACCCCTTCAGTGAGGGGGGTGTGGTGGCTCTATCGTGGTATGATTTTGCTGACATGATTGAAGCTGTTCTGACAAACTTTTACCTTTCAAAACAGACTGTTTTCCTGTTACAGCTACAAGGTCCAAGGTTGATGAAGTTAAGCTCTGACTGGGCTAGTAATGTTAGCTCGCTGAGCTGCCAGATGATTAGCGTTTACTTGTCTCTTTCTCTGAAGGACTTTAGGATGACTGCCTATTCATTATGAATGTAAGATTTGTGTGATCTTTTATAGATTTTTGTGGGGCTTAAAGCTGCAGTAGGTGACATATAAAAACAGCTTTCTGTCATATTTGCTAAAACTATCATGTTCTGTGTCCTGACAATCGTACATGAGACAATCTGTGAAAAAATCTGCCTCCTCAAGCTTCACCTTGTGCTCCTAATGCCATTTGCAAGACTCCAAAACAGCCCAAATCAAAACAACTAATTAGAGCCAGGAGGAGTGTTTGGCGGCGTGCCAATCACTGCTCGTGCACAATTCAAAAAAACTGTCCATAATGGCGTATGCTGTAGTTTGCCATTTTCTTTTGTAATGGTATTACTTTTTCCTTTTAGAGGTATTATAAACATCTTAAAAGTCATTAAATTTGTACTTTGTAAAACATTATAGGTACCCTGGCTGAATTAACAATGAAGAGACCGTTCTCACTCTGTGGTTTTAATCTGCGCAGGTATTCTAGCTTTATGAAAACAAAACAAGAGCATTAGGCATACATTAAATAGCAGTACAGACATTCCAGTGTCTTTCCTTCTTGTTCATCCTTGGTGTTCTGTCCATATTTCATGTTAAATAGCGCCCCCTGCTGAGAACTGCCCTGCTGGCAGCCTTTGTCTTTCCCTTGCTAGGGCAAACCTGGAAATAGCTTTGCTGTGTAAAGTTATCTGGTGCAATCCTGTTTGATTACCCTATCAAAAGCATCGTCTGTAAGTGTTTCCGACATCATACAGACACTAGTTTAATATTTTAGAAGTATGTGTGATTCATGTTCATTAGCTCTTTTATCTCATTTGTGTTGAAAAGTGCTATTTAGCCTTGTTTCTATATCATCCCATTGTTATCTTAGCCTCTGTTCCTTGTTGCTATGTGTTCAACCATATGAGAGCTTAAAGCTATTTATACACAGGGTTTGTAATTTGTCAGTCCAGTTTGCATAGGTTTGAAATGCTTATTTTACTAAATGTTAAGCTGCTAGTACATAAATTTCATAATCAGCAGAGCATTGTATTCAGTAGCCTTCTCCATTCACCCTGTGATGTTGTATATTACTGAGCAGGCTACAGCTCTAAAAGCATTACTCATGCTGTACATTGTTATTCTTATTTTTGTTCCTATAGGTTCACTCCTGTTCACTCAGTGCGTGAATCTGCAGCTCAATAAAGCCATTGAGACTGGAGTCTGTATCCTGACACCCATGTGTTCATTTGAATGGAGTTTGGCTTGCTGTTAAATTGTGTACATATATACACACATTGAGAGCAGTACACTTGGGCCTTGTTCATATACCACATAGACAGAAGACACAAAAGAAAATTGGACTGTTCGAAATATTTCAACTTAAAAAACTACTGTTCATTACATTAGCCACTGCATATTTTCAAACGCCTGCTAACGCAGTGTCACTGGACAACTCAACACGCTGGGGGTCCATCTTGCCCACTCAAAGAGAACAAGGCTAGTTGTGCTATCTTGGAACCCTGGCCATGGATCATATTGTCATTTTGAAAAGTACTACATGGCTCACGGTCATGTTTCGTTTATTATGTGTTTAAATTTAAGAATGTTGTAACCATATGAATAAGACTAAGAATTAATTTGGATATATTTAGTAAAAAACTTATTACATTATTTAATTGTATGAGTTGATCATCTTAAGTAATGCATCTAGTTCTCAGCGCAAATGAAAAACTGTACCTGTTCTGTTAAAGTGCTGAACAGCTGATTCAAATCCCAGAGTTATGATATAATTCTTGCGGTCAGTGACAGAGTGTATACGTTTCCATTGCCATTGTCCTGCAGTAGTGCTGAGCCAGTCAGGACAGGGCATTTTGGAGTCTTTATTACTGTCATGGTAGAAGATGGACACATCATTCACAGACATCCAATACATATATTTAGGAAGGTTAAAACCCTGGGATACAGCTGCATGGTGGCATAAGCTTTGAGACTCTCCATCTGCAGGAAACAAAAAAAGCTCTTTGCTCTAATCATCAGAAGTCAGATTCTTACACAAACAAAGCATTTGTTCTAATAAATATCCATGTTGTTTTACTTCTACTGTAAGACTTAATATGGAAACACTTCTTGATTTCAAACTTCATAATGGTCACTGTTGCAGCTGTAGAAAAATATCACATCACACCACCACATATATGAAAGTGTTCCATCACTTATGGTGAACGTTATTGATTTTTGACTGTTTCACACTTAACTGATGTCGCACATTATTTCCCATTTGAATGTCTCACTTACAGCTAAATGTAGGTGAAAGAAACTGATGCTGAGGAAAACATTTTTTTTCTGGACATGGGGCCAGAGATTTTGGTTCGTTTGGTCAAATTTGAAAGCTGCTTTTGAACCAGGGAGCAGTCCAGAAAACCCATCTTTACTAAATTTATAAGATAATGTTTTATTAAATGGGTTGTTCTGAGAATATCTGAGAATATCTCAGAACAACCGCTTGGGACACTTATGTAGGTAAAGATGGGGGAAGAAGCCCTACTTGCCATTTCCTTGAGTATTTCCTATTTCTGTTTATCTTTTTTCCAGCATTTTTTAAACTTGTTCTGTTTTACTGATTTCTTCATATGGATTCTCTATGTGTGTAACTGTCTGCCTCAGATTGTAACATCAACTAGGAATGCTTGAAGCCAATTAAAAGTGCATGAGTCAAAATTGAGGACTCATGACCTCTAGCGGTTAAAAAAGTGAACTACAACAACATTGGAACGATTTTTTAAAACTCCTTGGATCCGCCTTTTTTTCTGTTTCTCTTTTTTCTAAGTAAGTGCACCCCCGGTTTCAGGAATTGGTGCTGCCCCTTTTGACAGAAAGAACTTAATGTAGGCATGTACTATAACTGCCTATGAGTTTCTGGAATCTACTGGAAGAAATTTGTGCCCATTCCTCCATGCAGAATTCTTTCAACTGGGCAGTATTTGAGGGGTTTCTTGCATGTGCAGGTTTCACCACCCCACCCCCCCACCCCCAACAGCATTTCAATGGGATTCAGATCTGGTCTTTGACTAGGCCACTCCACAACTCTCTATTTCATCTTTTTGAGCCATTCCTTGGAGGATCTACTTGTATGTTTGGGATCTTTATCCTGTTGGAAGGTCCACTTCTTCAGCTTCAGCTTTTTTACCGATGGTCTCATATTGTCTTCAAGAACCCTCTGGTATGAAAGAGATTTCACAATTGATTCTATGACTGCATGCTGCCAGGCCAAACTGTAACATTTACACAACCATGATTTACAGTTGGTATGATGATCTTTTGATCAAATGAAGTATGGTTTTCGCCAATCATTGCTTCTAGTATTGCAGCCAAATAACTCCATTTCTGACTTGTCTGTCCATAACACATTGTTTCAGATGTCCTGGTCCTTGCCTTGATATTCATTAACAAGTTTTATTCTTGCTCTGATGTTTTTTTAGACAGCAAAGTCTTCCTCCCAGTGTACCTCCCATGTAGGTCAAATTTGTGCAGCCTTTTTCTAGTGGTGGATGCCTGCATTTTTACGACAACAATGGCAAGAGCTACCAGCAGATCCTGTGATGAAATTTTGGGGTTTTTAAAAACTTCTTTTAGCATCTTAAGGTTTGCTCTTGGGTTGAAATTTCCAGGGTGGGCTGGCCTGTACATGTTGGCAGTGGTTTTAAGTCTTCTTGACTTGTATATGACTTTCTGGACAATGGAAGGTTTGATTTCAATTTTGTAAACACTTCTCAAATTGAGAATGGGTATCTACAAAGTTCTTTCTGTTAATCAGTTTCAGCTGCTTTGGTGTTCATGAAATTAACAACATGTGCACTAGAGGAGCAACAATGAAACGACCCCGAAAACAGGAATGGTTTAGTAGGTGGAGGCCATTGACATTTTGTCCCTCCTCATCTTTTCTGACAGATTTTTCACTAGTTTTGCAGGTGGTTAGGGTCAGCGTCACTACTAGTACCATGGTGCGGTACCTGGACCCTACAGAGGTTGCACAGGTAGTCCAACTCCTGCAGGATGGCACATCGATACGTGGCATAGCCAGAAGGTTTGCCGTTTCTCCCAGCACAGTCTTAAGAGTATGGAGGCGATTCCATGAGACAGGCAGTTACTCTAGGAGTGCTGGACAAGGCCGTAGAAGGTCCTTAACCCCTCTGCAGGACCGGTATCTGCTCCTTTGTGCAAGGAGGAAGAGGATGGGCACTTCCAGAGCCCTACAAAATGAACTCCAGCAGGCCACTGGTGTGAATGTATCTGCCTCATGAAGCCTGATTCTGATTGTTTGGTCAGACACATTCACACCAATGGATGTGTCTGACCAAACAATCAGAAACAGGCTTCATGAGGGTGGCCTGAGGACCCGATGTCCAGTAGTGGGCCCTGTGCTCACTGCCCAGCACCGTAGAGCTTGATTGTTTGTTTTCCATAGAACACGGGAATTGGCAGATCCGCCACTGGCACCCTTTGCTTTTTACAGATGAGAGCAGGTTTCACCTGAGCACATGTGACAGACGTAACAGGGTCTGGAGACGCCGTGGAGAACGTTATGCCGCCTGCAACATTATTCAGCATGAGCGGTTTGGTGGTGGGTCAATGATGGTCTGGGGAGGCATATCCCTGGAAGGACGCACAGACCTCTACAGGCTAGACAATTGCACCTTGACTGCTATTAGGTATCGGGATGAAATCCTTGGACCCATTGTCAGACCCTACGCTGGTGCAGTGGGTCCTGGGTTCTTCTTGGTGCACGACAATGCCTGGCCTCATGTGGCGAGAGTATGCAGGCAGTTCTTGGAGATTGAAGGAATTGATACCATTGACTGGACCCCCCCCCCTCGCTTGACCTAAATCCAGTAGAACACCTCTGGGACATTATGTTTCGGTCCATCCGACACCGCCAGGTTGCACTTCAGACTGTCCAGGAGCTCAGTGCAGCCCTGGTCCAGATCTGGGAGGAGATCCCCAGGACACCATCAGTCGTCTCATTAGGAGCATGCCCCGACGTTGTCAGGCATGCATACAAGAACGTGGAGGCCATACAAACTACTGAGTACCATTTTGAGTTGCTGCAGTGGAATTTTGGCTAAATGGACTAGCCTGCTGCATAATTTTTTTGCTTTGATTTTCGGGGTGTCTTTGAATTCAGCCCTCTGTAGGGTGACAATTTTCATTTCCATCAAACAATTTGGCATCCTTTTGTTCCTAACACATTACCCAGTCCATATCAGGAAAGATATTCTGCATGATTTTTTTCCCGTTGAGATCTGATGTGTTTTCAAAGCGTTCCTTTAATTTTTTTGAGCAGTGTATAATGGCTGACAGGAGGTCAGTGAAAACACAGACAAGGGCTCCACTCCATTCTGCAGTTTTTCAAATGGGGTTTCTCAGACACATAATGCACTTGTACTGATGCTATTGCTAAAACAATTGTTTATCATGTTCCACGCATTTTCCAGGTTATTTGTACTAGTAATAAAATAAATAAATCAAGTAATGCACCTTTAACAAAGCTTCTCTGCACATGCATCATGCTTTCTCCAAAGTCTACTAACCACTTGCATGTTTAAAACTTCTTAAGAGAGAAACCTTAGACCAATATTTGAGCAATAACATTTCTTTTTGGAAGCCACATTTAGTGGTGCTTATGCAGAAACATGCCTTACACCCAGCAATAACCTCTGTTTATCACTTTCTTTATACATTTGTCAGAAATTATGAGTTTCTGAGACACAGCTGATCCGTGAGCTTGGTTACTGCTATAACAACACCAGAGAGACATGTGAGGGAGTAACATCTATGATGTAGGTCAAATCTTGCACCTAAAGAGAAGATTATAAGTCAGCCTACAAAATCCAGACTTACTGAGTCCTACTCACCAGTCCACACTTTCTGAAGATGTAAGAGAAGGAATAAAACACAAGCGTTCTTCATGGTTACTAAAACAAGAACAAGTCTGTCCAGAATGAAAAAGAAAGCAGTATTAGCCTGAGAGTCTCTCAGCACTGAGCTAAAGGGTAACAGGCCACACCCTCAAAGAAAAAACACCTTCAGCAACCTGTGATGAAACCCATGTTTGTCCTGTGAAAGACACAGAGAGAATGCCTTGCTGATAAAAAGTCTTAGCATGATCAACGAATCCTGCATGGCGAGATGTGGTATTCTTGGCATGCTTCCTTTTCTCTGAACCTGCTTGACCACTTTGGATGTGCTTGTCTCATCCACCATTCACTGCAACGAAAAATTCTGATCTGGATGCTTCAGATATTTTAATAGTCGTCAAGGTTCTCCCTGACGATTAACACATTTCTCACATGATGTACAATCACCTTTAAACCGCCAGCCCATGCATGAACCCCTAACCTGTTTCTGGAAGATATGCGCGTATCTGTATCTGGCAGTTAGACAGACGAGATAAAGGAGCCAGTTAAGGTGGTTTGGGTGTCTGATCAGGACGTGGAGGCTTACCAGGCATGGCCTACTGGGACGAGGCTCTGAGGTCATCCTAGGACCCACTTGAGGGATTATATGTCCAAGTTGGCCTGGGAGTGGCTTGGGGTCCCCCAGAATAAGCTGGAGAAAGTTGTGATTAAAGCACAGTTTAAAGGAAGAAGTGCGGTTCACTGAACATTATATTTTTTTCAACAATATTCCGGTCAACATTCCATTTCCCTAGTAACAGATGGCAGTATGAAGTCAGCTTATAGTACAGATGTTATCATTACACCCAATACATACTGAACATATGAAAATATCCCTTATTGAAATGGCCATTTGCAATAGACACAATGCAAAAACCTGACAAAAACAATTCCAGGCTTGAACAAGAACATTTCTATTTTCTATTTTCTAGTTTCTACTACATCTTATGTAAGACAAGATCTGTTTGTTACAACACTAAAGGACTGTTTCACATATTATGTATGTTGGTATCAGTACAGACAACATACATAACAGTAGCATGATAACACAAGTAATCACTAAATTGTCTCTTCCTTCCAAAATGTATGACTACAAGCATAGTATATGATAGTGAATGAAGAAAAGACAGGAGTTGGCTGAAAGATGACAGAGATGTTTTTTTCCACGGATTTATATCATACAGTGATTTTACACAATGCTAGAGGTTAAAAATAAGATGACCAGATTTTTTTCAATTTATATAATTTGCTTAATAATGGTTTCTCTCCAGTATTGTTTTGTGACAATAACACACTGATCACTGTTATAATCTTGTTATTTCACTTACCATTACAACTTCATCAGCCCCAGATACCAAATCTAATAACCACCAAACAAATGTAGATCAGACATGTCCAAACAGAGACGTCCAAACAGAGACGTCTGCACAAACACACAAAACATATTCATATTAACCTTCAACATATGAAATTTAAATTTCTGAAATGTTGTTGTAGTTTTGTGAAAACACGATGATTTCTTATGATGAAACAGTCAAAAGGTTAAGGTGTGTTTGTCTCACACACACTCTTTCAGATCTGAATCTCAGGCTGTTTTTCAGATCACACCCTCACCAACTTCATCTCGCAGCACAAGGGGAGGATGGGTCAGGACACCAGGCTGCACACATAACTCAGCCAGCGTTGTAGTCCCTGTAGTCACTCAATAATAATCCTTAGTATATAATAATCGGAATTTATGCACACTGATTGACTGATTAACCCTTTAAAATCTGAATTTTAAAGGGTTAATCAGTTATAATAACCATCAAAATATACATTTAACATAACATGATATACACTAGTTCTTACCTCTTGGAAAAAAGTAGGGTTTGATAAATAAACTGGATACCTAGCTTACATATCAAGTACACAACATGCTTACATAACAATCATTTACAAGTAAAAAAAATCTTAAAAATACATTTTGTAAAGCTTCATGAAGACAGTCAGAAGATTCTTAAATAAAAATGAAGGTATAAATAAACAGTCCACATTAAAAAGGAAATACCGACTATAAGATTATATATAGACTATATAATTCCTTATGAAAATGACCATAAGCACTGGGCACAATGCCAAAGTCTTTTAAAGCCGATTTACAGTAAAAAACAAAAACTGGGTGGTTGGTTATCATGTCCAGTAAGGAGAAGGCTATAGTGACAGAAGCTAGCCCTTTAGATGCATAACGTTAAAGCTAACACTGAGGAGGACTGAACATTTTGTACTTGAGAATTAAATTGTGAATATGAGCACTGTACAGTCCTGTTTAATCTGACTAATTTATTAAGCTAACTAGAAGCAGCTAAGCTAAGAAAAGCTTGGCTAACTAACTGATCTAAGTGTTTTGTAATGTTATATATTGTTTGACGTCATATGAAAATACAGTACCACAAATAAAGTGTAGGAATTACGTTAAAAACAGCTCCAGATTATCTGGTTGGTATGTGCTTGAATTACATGGTCCTCAGTAACACTTGGTCACCATTTCTTAGCCTCATGATTCTGACATCTGCTACCGTTCTCACTGCAGGTTTGCTCTGAGGAGTTTTGTCTGGTGTTTTTCTTGTCTTGACAGAGGAAGCAATGAATAGAGATGGCTGCTCATCATTGTTTTGCAAACAGTCAATTCCAAGTCTGAGTTTACAGACCTGCTTTACATTTTCCACAGAATCCCCAAATAACATAATGTAACAGTTATGAAAGCAGGTAGATAAATCTTACCTGCTCTTCATCATTTGCTGCATCTGTATTACATGTGTAATAACTTCTTAACTGCCTGCTCTGTCCATTAATTCCTCTATAAGTGGATATTCAAAGTACACAAGTGATCCAGAGTTCGTGTCATTATAAGCATCAGCCTTAACGTGTTGATGCAGTCACTAGACCTGCTCTCCCAAGGCATACATATACCAACAAGCATAGCGTGCAACAAGACCGGAGTGAGCTGAGAAATGACAGAGCTGCATTGTAAACAACATACACTGCAATGATGTGTTCTTGATGACGATCAGTTCAGCTCACAGCATCTACAGACAGGAGGATGAAAGCAAGAGAAAGTGTAATGAGAGAAATTGAACGTTAAAATGCAGTTAAATCTAGGAGCTCAAGCCTTAAAGTTGTGTGGGTAAACACCTTTAGAAATGAAGTCAGTCATTTGAAGATTTATCTCATACTCTTAAAAATAAAGATGCAGAAAAGGGTAATTTGCACCACTTTTGGTTCCCTGAAAATTTGTTCAAAGGATAATTCTTTAGAGAAACAGATGAGTGAAGGTAAAAAACTTTTTGAAAGTCTAAAGAACATTTGCATGTTGTTCTAGAACCCTTAAATTGGTATAGGACTTTATATACATTATATCTTATATATTACAAATATTATATCATATATTTTTTTCAAGCACAGTGTTGTAGCAGAATCAAAAGTTGTTTTATGGCATTACCCCAAGAGCTTCATAAAAGAAGAGGAAATCTGTGGTTCTGACCTTCGGGATGAATGAACGTCGACTGTGAGTCAAGACACTTTTGACTGGGCACACATTCCCATTTGCACTCCAAAATCTCATGGAAAGTGTCCTCAAATGAGTACAGGCTGTTATAGCAGTATGGGGGGGGTGGGGGTATGTGTGTGGCAACTCCAAATTAATGCCCATAGTGTGATGATCAGGTATCTACATACTTTTGGCCATATAGTGTTTTTGCCTTCTTTCTGCATTTACTAATGGAAAAAAATTCACAGTGTCCGCAAAATCTACCCCAAAGCAGTTATAGTTATAGCAGCTATAGTTCCTATCACCTTCAAGATGTCGTCAGATGGGAGATTTCGTAGTTTCTATCTGGAAAATCTCACTCTGGAGACGTGTCAGGCTGTAAGATGAGAGTCAACATGTTTACAACAGATGGAGCGATGGTGAAATTTAAATAAAACTAAGTGAATTGATTTTACCAATGGGTTTCTCTAAAGAATTGATTTTCAAAAGTACACTTTAATCACTGTTTACCAAACCAAAGTGATTTGCTTACCATTAGATCTACAGCAGCTCCAGAAACCAAATCCAATGATCAACAGGCAAATGCAGCCAAGAGACGTCCAAGCAGCAATCCTGCTGCGTTTCTCCACAACTACACAAAATATAATCATATCATTCCAATTTACAGAATTATTGTTAAAAAATGACTCATTGTAAAAGCGTAGAGAAGTGTTTGAAGCATGTGTGTTGCTTTAATATGGCAAACATAACAAGTCTTTAGTACTGATTGATTAAATGATGTGCAGGAGTCATCCTACCCCAGACTGTGGTGATGTTGTGTGCTACGCTGCTATGAAGCACTACACAGCTGTAGGTGTGTTTTCCTACATCCTCCTCTGGAACTGTCACACTCTTTCTGGTCTGGTATGTGCCGTCCTTGTTGGGCAGCACATCAGTGACCCCTCCATCCACAGGCTGCAGATCTGGACCGAACCAGTCCACCTGAACCGCCCGGGGGTAAAACTGTGACTGTGATGGAGCCGGCCTTCTGTTTCTCAAAGATCCTGACTTCTGGAACTGCAACACAATTAAAAACTCCATGAACTAAAGGAACAAAGCTATTTCAGATGTATTGTAAATGCAGTGGTAATCTGCTGAGCTGATGACATTGATAAGTATCTTTATGCACACATTTTTCTGACCTTTTCTGATTTGGAGAGCAGGAGCATCCCTCATTATGTTCAGTCGCTCCAGACACTGTATTCTGTAGTAATATGCTAAGCCATGTCGAGCAACCGTATCACTGTCTCTTAGATGTTTGTAAACCACCGCTTCAGGAACAGCAGCAACAAATGTCTTTCTGTCAATATCAAGACTTAAGAAGTCCTTTCCATTGAATGTGTGCACTAACGATGATTTGTGGGTTCCATTTGGATAAACAGAACAGCAACCCATGCCCTGATATACATTACGCTCAGACAATGGACCTACAATTAAAAAAAACAGGGAGGTAACAATTTCAGTTCTAATATGTCACATATCTATCAGTTATTATCTATTAATAATAATTATAAATAATAAATATTAAAGCAATTTTTCAAAATTTCTGCATAATTAAATCAAGCGCTCTATAAAGACATGTTTTGATGAGTTTGCTGTGGAGGAACTCCAGTGGCACATAGCTCTGACCACAACACCACTGAACACTTTTGGGATAATTTGGGATAAAATCAAAGTCATTTAGTGTGGTTTGATGTGAAATGTGCCGTTAAAGAGACACTTGCAGAGTCAGAGTTGTTCACTGTGGTGGTGATAGGAACCAGACATCCATTTAAAGTCTCTAAAAGCTGCCCCACAGAAACTTATTACATCATTACATATCAACCCACTCTGAATGACATTGTTTGAAACTGAGTGATGTTTACATCTGAACTGAATTATACTTATATAATTATGCATTTTAACATCAGTGGAAGTCTCCTTTAAACACCCCCCTTTACTTATACAGGCTATGGATAAAAGTCCTGCACAGCATGCAGTCATAATACGTTTACAGTATGTTTACATTACATAAAACTGTAACCACGCTGATCAAACAGGTACAGCTTTTACAGAGCAAATGGAAAAATCCCAGCACCTGTCAGGTTGAAGTGCTGAACAGCTGACTCAAAGCCGAGGGTAAAAGCCTGCCTGTTACGGTCTGCCCAAACTTGCATAGTGATCCAGTGTTCTTGTCCAGCTGTACTGCTGATCCAGTCAGGACGAGGCATTTTAGAATTCATATTACTGTCATAGTAGAAGATGGTCACGTCATTCAGGGTGGTCCTCTGCATATACTTAGGGAGGTTAAAACCGTTGGACACAGTCACATGCAGGCATAAAGACTCTGGATCTGCAGGAAAGAAATTCGTGTGTTAACATACAACCCCATTTCAAAGAAGTTGGGATGCTGTGCAGAATGTAAATAAAAATAGAATGCAATGATGGGCAAATCATGTAAACCATATTTTTAAAGGAAAATACTACAAAGACAACATATTAAATGTTGAAACTGAGAAATATTATTGTTTTTTTGAAAAATATATGCCCATTTTGAATTTGATGCCAACAACACGTTCAACAAGTTGGGACGGGGGCAAGTTTACCACTGTGTTTCATCACCTCTTATTTTAACAACACTCTGTAAGCGTTTGGGAACTGAGGAGACATTGCTGTAGTTTTTAAAGTGAAATGTTTTCCCGTTCTTGTTTGATATAATAAAATTTCTCAGTTTCAACATAACAATTTTCAATGAAATATAGGATTAAAATGATAAAACTTTTTTAGAAATGGAGTTGTACAAACTAAAAGTCTTACAAAAACAAAACATCTATTAAAAAACACATGGAAAGCCACCCCTGTTTGTTGAACAGGAAGTATTAAAGTCCACACAGGATTAAATGAAACTGGAAGTAAATCCTACCTTCGTATGAGCCGCTATACACTCGATGAAGGAGGTGTAAAACAAAGAAAATGAGTCTGATTTTCATAGCCACTCTCTTTACATCTGCACAGTTCTGGTGTCTCTTCTGCTCGTGCTGTCTTTCCGATATTGAGTCATAGTCTTAAGTGTGTTTGTCTGAGTCTCGGGAGCGCGCACGCTCACGTGATCCGCTTTGAGGGCTGAGGTAGTAGTTTCAGTTCATTATTTTAGTTATATAGACCAAATAAACCACTGTGCATTTATATCAATGGCAATGTAGCTTTAATGTACACAATACCACAGTCTGACAAGCATCTCCAGGCCTGAGGAGAGATTTTTACTGTTGCCCTGTGTGGCTCATGGCTCATTTCAGAATGATTGAAATCACGGTACCACTGTTTACATTTGGACATGCTGTGACCATATTGATCAAATAAGAACATCTCCAAGTCTTCACTTACACTAATTTTGCTTGGATCAAATTTAGCAAAAGAAACATTAAGTTTTACTCACAAACGGTTCTTAAGAAGAAATTTCTTCTTAAAACCCACTTAGGCAGTTTTCATGAAGATTCTGACATTCACCAACATTTTCTTATTTGGGATTTGTTCTTAGGTAAGAACAGAATCTACACACACTCAAGAGCACAAGCGTGTGAACAATTCTGGTTTAGGACTGTCATGAATCTGACATAGACTTTTTCTTACCTTTCTCAAAAACACATTTAAGAAAAAAAAAAACAGGAAGAAATTGGTGAATGAGACCCATTATTATTATTGATAATGTAAGTAGATTAAAAACACATTACCTGTCCTGTTGAACTGATTAATAGCTGAGTCAAATCCCAGAGTAAGAAAAAGTCTGTTGCGTTCTGTCCAAAGATTTATATAGTTCCAGTAATATTGTCCAGCGGTACTGTTGATCCAGTCTGGACGGGGCATTTTAGAGTCCATATTACTGTCATAGTAGAAGAGAGTGATGTCATTCACAGTGTTCCTCTCTATATACTCAGGGAGGTGAAAACCACGAGAGAAAATCCTGTTGGAACATACTTCATTTCTTGGTTTTACCTCAAGCACCTGTGTGGTTCGGTCCCGTTACAGAATACCTCCTCATCAGTGCAGATGGTGGATCATGAGGCTTTCTAGTACTTAGTTTGACTTTTCCCATTACTAAACCTGACAACTTTCACCTTCGACGTCTGTCACCTGAGGAGAAGCTTTGTTTGAAAGGAGGTACATGTACTGTACATGTATGGTGGCGGTGCTGGACATGTTTTCAGTAGCTGAGTTAAACATGAGAGTAGCTGAGTGAAATATGTCAGTGAGTTAACAATGTTAAATCTGTCTGTGTCTAAACAGAACATTGATTTTCAAACTCTATATTGGATTTGAGTGGCTTTAAAACTCTATATTAATCAAAATAATAGGCACTTCATCCACACCCCAGCTAGGAAACAATCTGAGTATGAAAGAGCAGGTAGCACATCCAGATCATTAGTCCACTCTTGTATGGATCTACGCTGTCAATAAAGATACTTTTATCCATAAATCCCTGTTTATAATCCCTGGCTAGTTGACTCTGAAAATAACAATCAACCAGCAACTCTTTAAGCTCTCATTGTGTCAGTGAGTTGTTGTGGCAGGTAAATAAAGAACTAACCCAGCTAATATAGCAGAATGATCTCCCCCTAAATAATAATCTGGGAACATCACTTTTACAGTGTAGCAATGAAAGTTTCTATAAAACCAATAAATTATTACTGAACAGATAAAATCATGTTTGCATTTTTAAGGGCTATATTTTATCACAGCACACAGTTAAAAGTGAAAATTTAAAAATAAAATACATGAGATGCTCTCCCATGTTAGCAGCTCCAATAGCAGAAAATTACACATACACATACTAAAAGGGGCTTGTGGCAATTTACCACAACAGGAATGGCACCATATGATTTTTGATAGTTCTTTTCTATTTTTCATGAATTTTCTCATAATGAGAGTGAATATGTAAATAAAAGCAAACACACTCAGGACTTTGTTGTGGATGCATTTATTTTAGCTCTCCTATGAATCCTGAACACATAATGCGTTATAAATGCATTTATAAGGTGTTTTATATCCTACATAACCTCATAGTGCTGGACATACTTAAATTGGCCCTTCATGTGGTGATCAAGGTTAAGCAGTGTGTTGCTATTAAGGCTGTAAGATGAGAGGAAAGATGGAGGAGATGAATTTTTGATTTGGTTTAATAGCTTGATGGTGACGTGGTTGTGAGCTGTTCAGACAGACATCTGGGTCTGAACCCCTGATGATCAAGCCGAGGGCGACAGTGGCAAGGAAAACTCCCTGGCGTGAGGAAGAAACCTTGAGAGGAACCAGGACTCAACAGGGGAACCCATCCTCCTTTGCTGAGCAGTGATTGGAGGAGAAAATGAAGGGCATAACTAGATAACTAGACGTGGGGAGCATCAGGATTATGATCAGCCATAAGACAATGGCAGATTAGTTCATTTTTACCACTGTGCCTCTAGTAAAGTGCCGACTAGCGGCTGACTGGATGATCAGGGCCTGCAGGCAGGAGGAGACAGAGTAAGATATAAAGAAAAGTAGAAAGTCACTTTTGTTCGCACTGGATTGGTGTCTGACAGAATGCGGGGCTCTATTTTATCTAGATGTGCTGAAAAGGGCCCACACTTTTTAATATTTAGCTATGGAGTCTTTGAGGGTGTATTTAAAGCTGCACTTGGTGTGTTTTGAGGATTTGGAGACCCCTCTGGTGGAAATGTGTCATTGCTTTTCTATATGCGTCTAATGACAGACCAGCTCTGTGCATCACAACTACTGAACTTCCTTCCACAAAGATCAGTTCACAGTTGTTTGTCTTCCTATTTGTCCAGTTTGTTTACATATTGCTGTATCTATGATCCAGAAATGGTATCAGACATCAAGCTAAATGGATGAGAGGATGAATGCAAGGAAAGACTTGAGAAGACTGAAAGATGGCAGATCTGTAAGCTCCACTGTTCTGTCCCAGAGCAAACTGCAGTAAAGAGTTCCTGAAGAGCGTCAGTTCAGCTCACAGCATCTACAGGATAAACAGCACAAAACACGAGGAAATATAATGAATTTGATTCAACCTGACATGATGAATACAGTTAATTAAGAACTTATATATAAAATCTGAAAGCTGTGAGTGAGACATATAAATGATTTCTTAAGTAAGCTAGGAAGATGGGAACACATTTGTAAGGAAAAGAAGAGGAGGAAACATCACAGCCTCCCATCAAATGCCCAGAATGATGTACAGAGATATAGATGATTCTAAAATGACTGAATAAAATTATAATAAAATAAATATCCCAAATATCTCATATTTCAAAAGTGACCAGCTCAAGGCAGATAAAAAAAATCCTCAAATAACTTCTTTTTGCTGCCAAAATATTTGAAATATTGCATATTATATTTAAATGCACCATTTGTTGTCTAGTTTTAGTCAATCTGCACTGTATTGTCATTGCTATTGTATTATTATTATTGTATTGTATAGTAAATTATTACTGTAAATAAAATAAGAAAAATTGTCCTGGAGTACCACTGTCCTGTATGCTGTAGTGTTATCTCTGTTCTAACACCCTCAGCCCATCTCAGGAATGGCTTGTTAATAGTTCATTAGAGCATGGGAAACTCTAAAATGTGCAGGATGGTGGTGCTCTAGGACCAGAATTGTGAACCACTGTTCTAAATTCTAGTATTGATATTCATGATAACACATTGATCATTAACTCACCATCACATCTACAGCACCTCCAGAAACCAAATCCAATAACCAGCAAGCAACTGCAGACCAGAGAAGTCCAAACAGCAAACCTGTTGCGTTTCTCCACAGCTACACAAAGGATATTCATATTATTATTCAACACTAAACTTAAAGATTATTGTTCAATACGTGGATCAATGTAATAAAATAGTGGAAAGTTTAAGGCACGTGTTGGTTTGATAGAGCAAATAAAATAAGTCTTTAGTACTGATAGATTAAATAACAGATTAAATGATGCACAGGAGTCATCCTACCCCAGACTGTGGTGATGCTGTGTGCTACGCTGCTATGAAGCACTACACAGCTGTAGGTGTGTTTTCCTACATCCTCCTCTGGAACTGTCACACTCTTTCTGGTCTGGTAAGTGCTGTCCTCATTGGGCAGGACATCAGTGACCCCTCCATCTACAGGCTGCAGATCTGGACCGAACCAGTCCACCTGAACCGCCCGGGGGTAAAACCCCATCACATGACATGTGACTGTGATGGAGCCGGCCTTCTGTTTCTCAAAGATCCTGACTTCTGGAACTGGAACACAATTAAAAACTACTTCATCTTCCAACAAAAAAGAAACAAAAGAATAAATCTACAATTGGAATTGGCTTAGATATCTGTGAACATACACTACAAGGCCAAAAGTATGTGGACAACTGACCATCACACCTATATGAGCTTCTTGAACATCACATTCTAAAACCATTTGAATTAATACAGAGTTGCCCACCCACTTTGCAGTTGTAACAGCATCCACTCTTCTATGAAGGCTTTCGACAAGGTTTTGGAGTGTTTCTGTGGGAATTTGTGCCCATTCAGTCAAAAAAAGCATTTGTGAGGATGTGTTCAGTGTTGAGGTCAGGGCTCTGTTCAGACCACTGGTGTTTATCCACACCAAACTCGTCAAACCATGTCTTTATGGACCTTGCTTTGTGCACAGTCAATGTGAAACCCAGGAACATTGCCTGGCCTGGGCTTCAGGAGCCATAACCTCAAATATATTTTGACCAGTCCTATAATTTGGAAAACCCCAAAACAATCCTACAGTGAACTGGGCAGAGCCCTGGATCTTGACATGCCCAGCCAATGCCCCTGGCCTTCCCCAAACTGTTGCCAAAAAGTTGGATGCAGATAATTGTCTAAAATGTCTTTGTGTGCTATAGTGTTTATATTACCCTTCATTGGATCTAAGGGGCTGAGCCCAAACTCTAAAAAACAGATCGGATATCCCCAGATCATTATCCCTCCTCCAGCTGACTGCCAGATAGTTGAGTATGATCACTGCAGAGAAATCAATCTATTGGCAGTGTGATTTACACCACTCCAGTCAATGTTTGGCACTGTGCATAGTGATCTCAGACTGGTGTGCACCTGCTTGGCCATGGAAACCCATGAGGCACCCAACGCACAGTCATTGCGCTGATGTTGCTATCAGATACAGATTGTAGAGAGTGATTCAACAAAGGATAGGTGATTTTTACTCGCTGTGCTCTTCAGCACTTGGCAGCTTCGCTCTGTGAGTTTTTGTGGTGAATTTGTGGTGATTGCACAGTGATTTGCTTGATTTTATGCATATTTTAGTAATGGGTGTGGCTGAAATACTTAACTCAGTGGACAGGAGGGGTGTCCGCATAATTTTGCCCATATATTGTACGCAGTCATACCAGGTTCTTGGAAAGCAGATTGTCAAATCTGTGCAAGACACTATAAACTAATACTAGTGTAACTACTAAATCACATTAGAATGAAGTGCATTAAACATTTAGGAATCGCGTGCATCCATAAGAATTATCTTACCTTTTCTGACACAAACTTTAGGAGCATGCTTGAAGACATTAATTCGATCCAGACACACTGTTTTATAGACATTTGTTAAGACATGTAGATCGACTTCATCTCTGTCTCTCAGACGTTTATAATATACCGCCTGATGAACAGCAGCAACGAACGTCTTTCTGTCAATATCAAAGCTTAAGAAGTCCTTTCCATTGAATGTGTGAGTTAGGGATGTCCTGTAGGTTCCATTTGGATAGAGGTAACAGCAGCCACTGGCCTGGTACACGTTTTGGTCAGACAAGGAACCTAAAACAGGAGCAGACAGAGAGAAATATAGTTTGAGTTTGAACACTGTTTGAATGTTATGTATCTTTTTATTCCAGGTCTCCACTTTGTATTGGAATGCGAAGAATGGTGTACATTCACTTTCCCACACTGAGTTCAATACTACATATGGGAGTTCTGCTTTAAGAACAGACAGTATTACTATTATTCATTTTTGAAGTCTCAAAGACTAAATATAATATCATATTTTCCCCCCAGCATTTATTGTGTCCACTCTTTACCTTTATTACAGCTTCTATTCTTTTCAGGAGACTCACTTTCAGTTTCTCAGAGAAATCTGCAGGGATATTTTTCACACCTCCAAAGTTCAGTCTTAGAAGTTGTTTACATTTTCTGCTTCTCACAATCCAAACAATCCCAAACACATTCAGTAATGTTGAGGTCTGGACTCTGGGGCGGTCAGTTCACTGTTCTGAAAACACCAGCAGCTTCTTTGTTTGATTTTTTCTTTTTTGTCTGTGTTCTTTTCTCAGTAAGAGCTTCTTAACAGCTACGCATCCTTTCAGACTCACAGTGGAAGGATGGACAGAATCTCCTGTAGATTTTTTTAGATCTGAATCAAGAGTGGAGCTTGATGTTCTCCTCTCTCTCAGAGATGAAAGCTTTAAGTGCTGTTTATCTGATGAGCGCAGTTTTGGTGGTCTCTTGCTGTTAGGAGTCTCATTGAAAGAATTTCTCGTTGAAGGAATCTCAACTGTATTGCTGAAATGTTGCTCTTTAATTGCTAAGGAGAAATTCAGTGTAGATCTTTTTTGAGATACCTTTTAATAATTTTTGAACTCCAGTTTTGAAAACCACAATGCCATTTGGTATCACTGGGCTGGAAAGGCTTAATTGAGAGGCATCGATCACTGCATTCCAGCAAGGCTCATTTTGTACATTTCAGAATGATTTAACAGAAGTCACGGTACCATTGTTTACATTTGGACATGCTGTGACCATATTGATCAAACAAGAACATCTCCAAGTCTTCACTTTCACTAATTTTGCTTGTATCAAATTTAGCAAAAGGAACATTGAGTCTCACTCACAAACCGTTCTTAAGAAGAAATTTCTTCTTAAAAGCCCCTTACACAGTTTTCACAAAGATTTTGACATTCAGCTATGATTTCTTATTTGGGGTTTGTTCTTAGGTAAGAACATAATCTATGCACACTCAAGAGCACAAATGTGCAAGCAATTCTGTGGTTTAAGGACACATCATGAATGTCACACCTCCTCACTCTGCTTCCTTTCTACTACAGAGACACTTGAGATCATGGACTGACTAGAGGACTCCAACTCCCATGAGCCAGTGGAAGGTCACATGATTTCCCTACCATCACCATCTACCAATGAACATTCATTCCAGCACTCCTCATAACCAGAATTCTAATCTTCACCCCTGTTTGTCATTTCATTTAATTAGTTAGTTAGTATAAAAGGCCAGGCTTTAGTTCAGTTCAGCTTCTTTGTGAAGTATTGCGGACCTATTTTGTTGCATATTGAGCAGTCTTTTGTCTGAAAAGCCTTTCTGTGTATGACCTGTTTTTTGTGTTTGTGACCTGCCACTTCATGTTTGCCCTTTGGATTGGATTGTTGTGTATTATTTGCTCTCTTGATTTTCGATCCTGGACTGGTTTTGGTTTTTCTCTAGATGTCCCTCTTGTTTTGGTTATCCTGCTCTCTGGTACTGACCATGGCCTGTTCTGACTATGCTCTTTGTAACTGTCCCAAGCAGTAAACTTAAACCTTCTCTTTATATCTGCGAGTGTCTGATCTTTGCTTACTTTGTAACATTAAATCTGACATAGACTTTTTCTTCGTCCGTTTTTCAAGAACAAATTCAAGAAAAAACTTATATTGGTGAATGAGACCCTTTATTATTATTTACAGTGTAAATAGATTAAAAACACATTACCTGTGGTGTTGAACTGATTAATAGCTGAGTCAAATCCCAGGGTAAGAAAAAATCTGTTGCGTTCTGTCCCAAGATTCATATGGTTCCAGTAATATTGTCCAGCGGTACTGTTGATCCAGTCAGGGCGGGGCATTTTAGAGTCCATATTACTGTCATAGTAGAAGAGAGTGATGTCATTCACAGTGTTCCTCTCTATATACTCAGGGAGGTGAAAACCACGAGAGACAATCCCATGGATACATATATTTACATATTCAGTGTCTGCAGAAACACACACACACACACACACACACAAAACACACACACACACATAAACAAAACATTTGCCTTAATAAGACTGTTTTCTGCTCATTTATTTGTTTTAGTTTTGTATCAAGTCGTAATGTCAATTATGATTCACCAGGATAATATTTCTATCTAGGTTTAGGCTTAATCTCCATCTTAATCCCCGACCATATGTGTTATTCAGTAAGTGCTAAAGTCCTTAGGTTTCCTTATTATATGCTATCAATGTAACTGATATGATCTTCTACTGTTTGCCTGTCAGATTCCAGAAATGAAAGTAAAAGGCTGCATACCTTGATGGGACTCACTATGCATTTGCTGAAGGAGCTGGAAGAGAAAGAGGAGAGTAAAGCTGCTCTTCATGGCTGCTTTCTTTACTTCTGCACTGTGTTAATAACTCCTCTTCTTTTGTTTAACGTTGTACATTGTATGTGTGGAGATTACCTGGTGTTGTTCCAGACTCCGCCCCTCTGTCTCTCGGGAATGTGCGCATTTACGTCTTCTGTTTCAAGGGCAGAGTCAGTTCATCATCTTTTAGTTCCTTTGACCTGAATATCACAAACTGTGAAGGAGATCTCTCTTTTACAGAGTGGTCTTTAGGAGGGTGAGAGTTTCCCAGCTTATTTTTCTTTGTTTTTGGGATCAATATCTGCTACCTGTGTAATTTTAAGGATGTAACACCAATGTAGCCAGATTTAAGACGGGGTGAATTTCTCAGCAGGTAAAAAAGCTGTGAGTACTGATCTGTTTCACCTGTCTAAATTTTCATGTGATTAGACTCAGTTACTTTATAAGCCTGGGTTTTAGATTAGGACTTTGTGAGGTATTGGTTCCCCTAGTAGAGCTGCTGAGTGTTTACGTTTGTGAATTTGCCTTCTTGTGTATTTTGACCGTGTTTTTGGACTTTTTGCTTGATCTCTTCTTTATGTTTGTCCTCTTTTCTATTTTGCCCTTTCTGAAATTTGACCCCTACCTGTTTCCTGACTATGAGTATTGATAAAAATCTAACAAGTAAATGCTGCGTCCCAATTGCACACTTAATACTAATACTAATACTAGTGTTTGAGTATGTAGTATAGTCACAAGTGTCAAAGTTGAGTATACTGAAAAATCCACAATGCATACTTAAAAGCAGTCGATTCTTGAGTATAGTAATGATGGACACTATTGTCCCATAATCCAACGGAAATGGAAAGGGAGGAGCTTCTCGAGTCTGGAAAATTCCGAAAAAATGGCAGACGGCAACGCGAGAGCAGCTGCAGTGGTAGCAGGACCAGAAATGGTGTATAAATGTTCACACCTCAGTTCACACCTCAGTAAGTACCTAGTTTGGCTTTTCCTGTTAGTAAGCCTGACAAATTTGATGGTAATCCTGAGAAGTGTTGCTGGTTTTCTGCTCCAGAGCTCAATTATTTTTAACAATTCACCTTCGAGCTCAGATCAGGCTAAGATTTTTTTCTTAGTCTCTCAACTGGCAGATAAAGCATTGGATTGGGCTACTGCTACCTGGCCAGAGGAGCAGAGCCAGTCATATGAGCAGTTTTTGAAGGATTTCTGTACAGTTTTTGATCATCCACATGAAGGAAAGGTCAGTGGTAAACTCTTGAATAATCGCTGCCAAGGTAACCGTTCAGTGTCAGAATCTGCTTAAAAATTCCACACCCTGGTAGCAAGTATTGGATAGAACGAACCAGCATTGCTGGTTATGATTCATCGAGCACTGAACTAAACTTCTCACCAAACTAGCTTGTAGAGATGATGAGTTAAGTCTTGATCAACTCATCACTCTAGCCTTTGGTTTGGACCAACTCACACATGACTGCAAACACCAAAGAGCGAATATCAGTACAAAACATCCAGTCTCTGTGTGTAGAGAAACCAACGACCACGAGGAACCCATGCAGTGTGATTTGTCACATCTGTCACCTGAGGAGAGGCTTCGTCGCTTGAAAGGAGGTCTGTGCAAGTACAGTGGCGGTACTGGTCATGTTTTATGTGACTGTTGGGCCCATCCACATAGACCTCAGGCGCCGAGCCCTGGATGTGGTGAGTATTCCACAATAGATATTCTCACAAAGGGGTTGGTTTTGAAGTCTTTCCTCTTGCCTGTGTCTGTGTACTGTCAGCAAATTTCTTCTGTTGTTTCAGCCCTGATTGACTCTATAGTTGAGGGAAATTTCAGTCACACTCAACTCGTGGATCAGCTGCAGATTCCCGTGACACCCCTGAAGACCCCATTATGAGAAGCTGCCTTGGATGTAGTTCCTGTGGGAAGTGGGTCCATAACTAAAAGGACTGAACTCATTAGATTAAAGTGTTTGCTAAAAGGCTACCTAGAGGGAAATATGGCAGTAACTAAGTGAAATAAGATGGTAACTGAGATAAATATTCCAGTAGCTGAGTTAAACATGTGAGTGTCTGAGTGAAATATGTCAGTAAGTAATCCAAGTTAAACCTGCCTGTGTCTAAACAGAACATTGATTTTTAAACTCTACATTGGATTTCAGTGGCTTTAAAATCAAAATAATAGGCACTTCATCCACACACCAGCTAGGAAACAATCTGGGTATGAAAGCAGGTAGCATATCCAGATCATTAGTCCACTCTTTGTATGCATCTACACTGTCAATAAAGAGACTTTTACCCATAATGCCTGTTTAGCATCCCACTGTAATTGGTTCAGATTAATCCTGTCTCATTTTGTTCACTTTTTAGAGGACAAGTCTGAAAATCACAATATAACAGCAACTCTTTAAGATAAAATAAAATAAAAATAAAAACTTGGGAACATCAGAAATGTCACAAACGTTTCTACGTTTCATGTAAGGCTATTTTTCATAACAGAACACAGCTAAATGTGAAAAGTTGCTCATCATTGTTTACAGCTCCAAATAATAATTCATCCTAGAAAATTACACACATGCAAACTAAAATGGGCTTGTGGCAATTTATTAAAAAAGGGCTGTCATGATATCTTTTGGAGAGTTTTCATTTCACTTTTTCATGAATTCTCTCATAATGACAGCAAATGTGTAAAAACAAATGAATAAACACACACAGGACTTTGGTGCAGATGCATTTATTTTAGCTACCCTATGAATCCTGAACACATAATGCTTTAAAAATGCATTTATAAGTGTTTTATGGCTTACATAACCTTATAGTGCTGGACATAAGATCGTAAAATTGCTTACAACCAATGTGATAGTTTGGACCGTGCCTTCAACATATG